CTGAAGAAATAAATGGCATATTCTGGATGAGAAAGAGGATAATGGGTAGGTATTTAGGATAGAAAAAAAACTTCACTTTCGATTCTATTTGAAAAAAGGAAGCTCCATTCTCATTTTTTTCCTCAACATCAATTATTTCACTTGAGATAAAAAAAAAAGCAGGAGATGAAAATGAAACGTGAATCTACCTCAAGTACAACTTACATTCTTAAACCCCCTTTTTTGTTGCTTCCCATTCACAAACAGCAAAAAGAGTAAAATTGAAAAAAGAGAAAAAGGAATTGGAAGTGAGAAAAGAATTCATGCTGAGAGTGTGCCATTAAATTAAATAAACAGCATTGGCATTCAAAAAGGTTCTGTTGAGCTACTTATTTTTTTTAAGACATACCATCCATAACATAAGAAAAGAATAGAAAAGCATTACGACAACAAGATGCTGTTATTGCTTCTTCTTCTCCTATTTTCATACAAAATGTGATTTTGATCGTAAAAAAGTCTCACATAGAGCAAAATCTTTTGGTGCTGCTTATTCTATGATTTTCTCTTCTAGTGAATCAAGTAAGAATTGGAGATGCAGTTGAGAATGAATGTTCACATAAAAATAATAATAACAATTCAGGATGGAATATTGAAACTATTAATATGATATGTTGGTGGTAATATGAGATTTTTAAAAAAACGATCATGAATGCTATATGATTGGCCATTATTTTGAATGATGGGAATTTAAGTAGCTGGATTTTGAAATTCTGCATTAGAGGAATGTATGGAGGATGCATGTCTAGATGTCATTGTGCGAATCCTTTGAACAGAATTTTCCTGCAACAAAACACCTATTCAAATTGAGGATCCCCAGTATAGTAGCATGTATGAAATTCAGTGAACCAACTGTCGTCAATATCTTCATTGACCTTAAATTTGCAAGTTCAATCGAGCATATTGCCATTCACACGAACGAAAATCAACAAAACCTCTGCATCGCCTTGATTTATTTTCATATAAACTTACGGATGCACTGACACAGAAACTTCTTGTACCATAAAATCCAATTTACAATATTTTTTCCCAATTACTCGAACTCCACGTTTAATTTTTTTTATTCTCGTTAAACTGTCGCAATAATCGTAACAATTAATGTCATATTAAACAAATTGAGACAACAAAGAAGCAGGAAATATCCACATAAAAAAAATTTGCATTCATGAAACATGACTGGAAGCATAAAGATTCATTTGCAGTCGCTTTTTTCCACTCTTAATTCAAATTTACATTGTGTTCAATTACTGACGTTTTTGCTGTGCTTGGCACTTTTTTAAAATTCCTCCAATTTCCCTAACAATAAAAGTGTAATGACCAAAATCAATGAAAATTGTTCTGAATACTCTTTTGCGACATCGCATTTGTTCCTCTTTTGTGAACTTTGCATGTTTCAATTTCGTTGTTGTTTATTTTTTTTGTGTTCTGCACTCTCGTTGTCGCTCGGTGTTGTTTAAAAATTCTGTGAAATCAAGCTCCATGTCATGCTGCAATTGCTCACAAAGGACGGACAGTTGAGTGAGGATGTGAGAATTTTAGGAGTCTAGGCGCAGTATTTTTACGGATTCTGTAGTTCTAAAATTTTTCATGGGTTTATTAGAAGTTATCCATAAATCCTGAATTTTAACACCAATAAAAATGTAAATATATCCCTGAAATATCCCAAAATGCACCATTAACTCCAATGTGCAAAAATTATGCTTCCATAAAACACAGCAACAGTGCAGAGTATGAGAAGAACAATTCGCAATCACATGCAAATTGTTAACGAATTTACTCGTTTTTTAAATTTGTCATGAGACAAATTATCTTTTTTTTTTGCTGTCCCATCCATCGGTCGGTTAGTTAAAAGCACAGAATAAGAGTAGAAAAAAATACAGACGCAATAATTGCCGTTTCATATTCCACTCTCACTTTCAATTCAATTCATTTGCAAATTACATCATCGTCATCAGCAACAAAATAGTCATGAACGTCGCTAAAAGTGAGCCGACAATGTCATTCACTTCCCACGCATAACATACACACAAAATGAGACAATAATAATAAAAGTATATATTAAGTCAGTATTATGGATACAGTTGAGTGCCGTTTGACTTTGATTTGTGTGTCTTTCTTTCTTTACTCACGATTTGGTCATGTCTCATTTAATTATATCATCCTCTCACCTTTAATTAGGTGAATTAAATCACTGAACCGAGGCTTTAAGTAATAAGAAATGACAAAATTGAAATTGATGAGTTTGTTGTTGTGGTTTGTGCCGCTTTGAGTTTGTTGAGTCATCAGTTTATCTGTTTGTCATGTTTTTGCTGGAGTTGGAGCTATGATAGCCAAGTATGACTGATAGACTCCTTTAACCTACTCTTATTGAGTTCTATAAGGCATGAAAAAGGTTCCAGACCACCAGTGTACATTCAAATGACGATACTGCTTTAAATTTTGAAGTATCAAGCCATATGTAGGTAAATCTGTCAGTTTAATTATAAGAACTCTATAGATTAATGGTTTGATAACAGACCGAATATTTGTAACACTCTTTTGAATAATCGGTGGGTTCAATTCCCACCAGAGGCTGATCACACAATTATTGCATAAAGTGTTGCGGATATGATAAGGATTCACAAAACGTTCACAACTTTACAAAACCTAACGACGCCTCGTTACACCTACACCTGAGTTACAAAAGATTTCCTACCTTAATCTAAATGAGAGGAAGTTATAGATTGAAGCAATTAAAAAAGATCATGCAATTTAAAAGAAAAACACAAAACAAGAAGAAATGAAGAAAAGTTTTTAGGGTCAAAAACCTTTCGTGAATGATAACAAGATAAATTGAAGCACAAATTTAATCATAAACTTTTGCCTGACAATTTTTCTTTTCCCGTTCATTGAACTTCATACACAAAGTGGATCCTCTCTAATAGCTCTCATATATTTTAGGTGTAAAACACATGTTGGAAATGTTTGAATATTAGCAAAAAGAAGCTTTACGTGCGATAAAATTATTGGTTGAAAAAGAGGAAGTTAAGCTGTTAAACCAAGAAAGAAAAAAAAGCTTCTCGAAAAGGTGAGAAAAGCAATTTATCATTTTAAGTGAACCTTCTATGTAGTCTGATGTGTTAATAACGAGAATTTCATACATGATGTCAATGAAGTTTGTGGAATTTTGTGGTTTTGTCAGGTTAGCATCACAAGTTTTTAGGAACATTATGTGCACAATATTTCGGATGTAATTTTAAATCCAAAATTTTCAGCAACAGCATCATCATTATTCAACATTTCCACGAAAATCCATTCAGCAAACCATCCTTGTTCGAAAAAAAATCCTCATTAAAAACTTAACATGTTCATTTTACTATAATATAAAGCATAATCTTTTGTATGCACTTTTACGTCAATGGTCCAATTTATAGCGTTAATTAAACAATTTCTGCCTTTATACCATGCACAATTTCATCCATAAAACTGCATCGTTGTTGTCTCTAAATACATAAATTTCATGAAAGGTTAAAGTTTTGCAGAATATTAAGCTGATTTATTCTCCAAACAGAGAAAAACATCATGAGCTTTGTTAACATTTGTTGGAACTAACTCTACGACTGGACTAAAGTTCTTAATTATACAGCTTTCAGTACGTTTATTTGTTATATATTTTTAATAGCCATATAAAATTGTCTAGCCAATGAAATAGTTCTGCATGACAAATTAAAATTTCTTTTTGTTGTTCATAAAATCATTTTTCATCGTTCATTCTTATTACGATATTGTTTGAATAGAGCGGTGTATGGATGAAAAATTGGGGTTTTTTGATTGTGAAATTTATGGATTAATTATTGAAAATGTAGGATTTGAAGCAGTTAAGATGGAATAAATTGATCTGGCAAGTGCATGTTTTGTGAAATTGGACTTTTGAAGGTCACGAATGATTCTCTGTTTTTTCTAAAATACCAACTAATCCCGACTGGAAGACTGTATCGTAGAACGAGATAATTTTCATAACAATAAGAAATATGAGAAATCAGATTGATGTCTTTAAACAGATCGTTGTAAAAAAAACATCAAAATTAATACAGATCTACATATATCTTTTTATAGAACACGAGTATTGATCTAGCCATGAATCTATAAACACTAGCTTTTAGAGATTGAGGGTGTAAAACTGGTGCTCTGGCATGTGCAAAGACAACTCTGGCTTGATGTCGCAGTTAAAGCTTTTCCAAATTGGTCCTAATCACCGATCGAGATTAAAGGTTTGAGTCTTGACACTAAAGTATATGCAGCACCATTTCTAACTTCAGACATTGAGCCCATTCTAGTCCTGCTACTGAAATTCTTACTGCTTAAATCTGTTTAAAACACTGCAATGAATTTTCATGAGTCACCAAGATATTCAGCAGTGTATTTCGCGAAAAATTAAAATTGCAAATATTCAATGTCTTTATCATGGAAGTAGCTATAGCCATGATATTTATTACTTCCACTGATCTTCAATAAATACCCAAGGAAGTCAACTGAATCATTTTCTCGCATTGATAAAACAAAATTCACCAAAAAATCCAATTATAGAGTAAAATTGTTCACATTTCAAGTTCAAAATGTCCATAAACCTAAAAAGACAAAATAAACAAATAAATAATCCAAAAAAACTGCAGAAAAAAGCTATTTTGTGTCCACTGTTAGTCATCCATATCAAGCACGCAATGTGAAAAAATGAAAGAAATTCGCACACACAGTAAAATGGAAAGATTAAAAGCAGCACATAAATAAATAAAAAAAAATGAAACGAGACAATCTGAATAAGGTATTTTTCCATTTAACCGGACGACCCCAAGCAAAACACTTTTGTTGCTGTATTGTGTATTTGTGCGAACGAAGCCCAAGGCTGGCATCATAGTGAAATAAAAGAATTGCAAAATTTCCCATTTTTTTTAATGAATTGAAAAAAATAAATAGCAGAAGTAGTAGGAGATTGTGCCATTCTGATGTGACTCTCATTTACAATCTTTTTTGTTCACAAGTTTAGTTTGTAATTTAATTTTAGTGCGGTAACATCTCACAACAGGCAGTAGTACCAGTAAAAGAATAATTTTGTATAAAAAATTATAATCAGTGAGTGTTAAAAGTCTAAAGTTCATGGGATGGTGCAGGATAAAAACAAGGGAAATTTTTTTAAGCATAAAACACACAAAAAATTGAAGTTTGTGGTTGTTGCGGGGATTTTCAGATGTAAAATTTGTTAGAATAAACTTTTTTTTGTTGCCATTTTCATAGCATAAACATTGGTTATCCTCCTATGTTGGGTACATCCGAGTAAGAGAAAAAAAAATTATTGATGCTAAAAAGTTTAAAATGAAATTTGTGCTATGAAAAAAAATTACTGACTAAATGATGAGAATTTATGAATATTTCAAACTTTGATTCTATGTTGTTCATGCTGTGAACAATACACAAATTATTTTTCATACAGAACATTTTCAGTTTTTTGTCTGAGCTTTTGTTTGGATACAAATAAATTTGCAATAGAAACTTTTCAATGTCCTTAAAGTAATTTTAGACAAATTTTTAATGGGTTTCTTGTGAGCTTTACTAGATCCTAGATTAGAGCATTCACATTTCTCTACCCCTGCCCCCTCAACTTCTTAGTAAGATTAACTTGAGTCTTGAATAATAAAACTTAATTAATATTACACTAAGTTGCCATACTAAGAACATAACGTCTCAGTGACGTAATGTTAATTTATCGACAACATGTTGAATGACTTGGGCCAGTTCCTCGAGTACCCTCTTGCCATATATCCTAGATCAACCTAGTTTAGTATCGAATTTTTATATCTTATTCATCTATTCGAAGTTTGTCACTAGGGTGTTGAACTAATAAGTCTCGTTTTGATCATTGTTGATCACTTCTGCTTCATTTATCTTTAAATAGTTCAAATAACTTGCCACCAGAATATCCAATACCCCCATTAAATCATGACGAAATTCCCACAACTTCAATCACAAAAAACATTCATAAATTCATAACCGATTTGCCATAAAATTATAAAAACTGCAGAGACACTGAAATTCTGTGACTGGTAAAAAATACGAGATTACAAGCAGATGAGAAACAGTAAATTGTAAAAACGATAATGACTTAAACAAAACGTGACTATTTTTAAGAAAGTTTTGTTGATAAAAATTGTAATTTTTTTTGGAAATGTATGGATGCAGCTTGTTACAGATTATTGAGTGCTTGTACTCAAATAAATTTGGTACTTTATGCTTGACAGACTCGCAAAAAAAAGTATCAAGCTGTTTGCAACTGTTGCAACTGTTTGCGATGCAAGATATGCTTTTTATGATGAATTACGCTTCATTGGGAATGATTGATGTAAATTGGAAGATGAATGAACTTTAAATTTGAATTTTAGTTTGCAATTAAATGTTAAAAATTAAGAATTTTCAAACGAAAATTTAAATAATTATTGAATTCCTTCAATCTTTGATGCACAAAAAATCATACAAAAATCGACGCTCCCGAAGCAACCCAAATCAAAAAGAAATATACTTTATTCCCAGAGAGACGCATAAAATCGACTTTAAATGTCATAATGAAAATTTAAGGTTCATAAAAATCATCTTGTGTCTCATAACTTTCAAATTCAATGTGTAGTAGCGAATTTTTATTTTATGATGCGAATAATTTTACTGACTTAGTGTTGCTGAACTCTCATGTGAGGGAAAATATTGTTTTGGTTCAATCGAATTTTTGAGTGACTTGCTTGAAAAGTTTGGATTGGAATTTCGCATTTGGTTATGGTTGTGTGACAAAGGGCTCCCTTCCTTGAGCTTGCTCGAGTGAAACTAGAAAATGAATTTTGATTATTTTAATTTTTACACGTATTGTGTGTTTTCCATAAGTTCTGAATGTCTGTCACTAACCTGTCATAATTATTAAATGTTGCAACAATTTACTACTGATGGACAATTTCCATCGCAAGTGATGGATTGCAAGTCAAATATTAGACAGTGGCCAGTTCCTTAAATATATGTTACTGATCTTAATCTAGGAATTGATCAGCCTACTTTTAATGAGAATTGAACCTACGCTTTGACATTAAAATTTAACTATTAACTTCTCTGCAACTTAATCTCGTGACTATATTTATCTTCCTGATTTATCAGTAGATTTGGTTTAAAACTACAGATTCTAAGTTGCTTTAAAGCCACAAAAACCTCCATTATCAAGCAAATATTGCTCACCATTTATTTCAAACAATTGCGACAACGCAAAATAGTTTCACACGTGTGGGAGTCAAAACGAGATACTAATGCACTAGCATGCACATTTATGAGCACTGAAGGTCAATTCCAAAACAACACAATTCAATATTTATTTTCTCCTTGCAAACCGCAAAAGTTCAAAGATAAAAAGTATTGTGGCATTGGAAAAAATATTTTCAGGATTTTGCCAAAAACGGAAAAAAAATTGTCTGTGTGCCTCACAATCCAATAATTATGAGCTCAAACTTCTTCCTTCCAATTATAATTTGCCATACGATAAATGAAAATATGAGAAATTATTTCCACTATTTTTGTCACATATTCTTATAATGATAATAATTATTATTATAATAACATTGCTCATTTTGTGAGAATGAACAGAGAAAAAAAAGAGAATTTGGCTAAATGCCAATGAGCAGTGTACTAAGGAAGGAAGTTTTTGTTTTTCATAATTGACATGTTGTTTGCTAATTAATTGGGTCAAAGCATTTTTCTCATTCATTATCAACAAATTGGAATGTAATGCTTCAAAGTAGATATCTGAATTAAATTAAATCAAATTCATTTTAAAGCGGGAAAAACCACGAGATTTAATTACATTGCAATGCACTGAATGTTCTCAAGCAGGGTGGAAAACAACCGCAACGTGAAGAAGCTTGAATATGTGAATTTAATTTTAATGAAAAAAAGAAATTTCTTGCTGAGTTGTTGCCAGGATTTGATAAAAGATTGTGCAGCTCTGGGTTGATGGATCTGAACCTAGTAGGTTTAATTTATAATAAGTTTCAACAATTAAGTCTTTTGATTATGAAGAGATTACAAAGGGCCTTATTTTAGGTCTCCTACCCTATTTATAGAAAAAAATTATTCATTCACCGTGGATTTTGAATTCTAGACTAGAGCTCCCCTGGGTTCAGTCTCTAGGGTTCTCCAGGATACCTTCAGTAGCTTTTTTTAATTTTTCTTGAAAGTCCAGAGTAAAGGACATCGACTATTGAAAATTTGACTTAAAATTTATCAAAATCATTTTAACACGAACTCCTGACTCTTTCCCATCTATTTTGCACATCCAATTTTGCAAGCATCCACAAAACCATCTAAAATATCGTTAATTAAACATGATTTTACATAACACCATTTAGTACGCGAGTAATTCCTCTCTTTTTCCGTGATTTTAATCATCTCACTTTTCATTTTGTACGATGAAAACTTTATTGCCAAAGTGGAAAGATAAACTTTTGCATCATGCATTGAGATTGCTTTTACTAAAAGCGTATAACACAAAAAGATTCACTTTTAAAAAGTTTTTTTTTTGGATTTTTTTAAGAAAAGAGAATCAGATGAGAAAAGAGAAGGCAAGAGTGTGTTTAACAGCTAAAATGGATTTATTTTTTTGACAAAAAAACAAGAAACTTTACGCTTCAAATTCATTTAATTACATAATTTGTTCACAGATAAATAGCGAAGTAATGAAAATAGTTGAAAGAGTGATTAAAGAGTTGCGAGTTTGAGTGCATGTAATGAGATTTTTTATATTCACACCGTTTTCACGTGTGAATCTATTGGTTTTGTTCAGATTGAAAAATCAGTTTTTAGAATTTTGTGATGATATGGAGTAAGATAGCTTAAAATGTTCAGAAATGAAAAGTTTGTGCCTGGAATTTCACATCATTTTCAAAAAACAGATTTCAAATTGGTTGTGGCATTGCTGAGAAAATCGCAAAATACGCTTTCTGTAAGCTAATAAGCAAGCAAGCAAGTTAATCAGCAAGAAATCTCAATAACGAGACATCGTAGAGACTTCTAGTATTTTACATTTGATCCGTGCTGCTCTATAGAAGAGCTGTATTGTTTTTGGGCAAGGTAGGAACAGCCGTTGCTTCAGAAAAAGCAAAAAACTTTCCTTTCTCACGAATTTGTCAAAAAACAAGTTTACTGTGATTTTTATAAAATTCAACTTTTGACGTTAAGCTTTAGACCTTCAAACTTATGCTGAGCAAAATTCAGCTGACTCGCTAGCTTTATATCTCAAAACTTATGCTGAGCGATGATCAGTTAACTTATGAAGCTTCATACCTTAATACTTATGCTGGGCAAATCTTGGTCTATCCATAAGACTTTTGATGGTACGGTGTGAATATAATCCGCATTGAGTTTCTACCCGATACACTAGTTAGTTTGAAGAATTGTTGCTAGAGTCTGAGATTTTTTGAGCAAAAGTAAATGCAGTAAATTGGAGAATTTTTCATTAAATCTGAAATTTGAATTGAGACGGAGAAGAATTGAGGGGAATACAACGTGATTTAAATTGGTGACAATTATTCTTTAATATTGTTTTCCCCAGCTGTCACTTACCTTTTAACAGGCAGTGCCTGTGACAGGCAATATTTTTTTTGCTTGTCATAGGCAAATATTTGTTTTTTTTGTGGGCAGATTTTTACCTGTGACAAGCGATCTGTTTCGCAACTCTGAGTTGATCATGCATTGAAATTGACAAACTGCAATTATATCGATCGATATCGATGAAATAAAGTTATTAGCGTAGTAAATGAAGGTAATCAACAATTCCCCATTCTCGGTTGCTTTATAAAGCTAAAGACATTTTTGTTATTTTGTCTTTCTCAATTCAAATCCATTTCACTCTAGGATATGCCTTTGAAATCTTAATCATGCCACCAATAACTTTTTATTACACCACTAATCAGTTAATAATAGGGTGACCATCTGCGTAGTTTTTCAACGGATAGTCCTGTATTTTTCAAGACTCTCCTGTATAAATTTTTAAATTTTGTTCTTGGTCCTGTATTTTTTTCATGAAAATTTCCGTTAATTTTCGAATTTTA